GCTGCAGACTGGGGGCCCCCTGCCAAATTCCACTGATATATTTTGGTTGGCTCACATTATTTGAAAAATACTCAAATCCGTTTAAAACATGGGAGTTTTCATACTAAAGCCCTTGGTTTCCAGATTTTCCAGAGGAAAAGGGAGTGCTAGCATCAGAGCTGTGGCTGGTTGGTAGCTGACCCTGTGAAAGGACATGGCTCTTGGTCGTAGCCCCTGCCAGCATATCACCCCAGTCTAGAAGGTTCTGGATCCAGACTTGGAGCACCACCACTCACCAACTGGGCCACTTTGGGGCTGGCATTTAATGGACTCTTCCTCCTCACCTGCCCCCGGCTGCCTCGTGAGTGTGACAGCACATCATAAACACGCAGCACAGTGGACCTTTAAGGAGGGGCTGGTTCCCAACAACGCAGGCACCCTTGGTCAAGTGGGCGTTAGGAAGAGACGCTTAGTGGCAGCCTGTGGACAGGGAAGGGAACCCATGTAAGGGAAGTGCCCTAAGACAGTGTCACCCATTTCTTTCCTTAAAAAAAATTTTTTTTAAGGTGTTTTAAAAATGTGTTTTCTAAAATTATTATGATTATTTTACAAGATCCATGCAGTCTACGTGGTGCTTTATAAGGCGTATCCGGCTACAGCTGGTGCACTTTGGGGGGTTTTATGGCAAATTATTCTCAGATTACTCTTTAATGCAGCAAGGTCTGCCTGTTGTCTGAGCTCCCTGGGTCATACGAAAAACCCTCAGACTTGATACAAAACAGCTGCCTCAGTCAGCTGTTCCAGAAAAGGAGCATCTTTAGGCCGAAGCAGCAGGAAAAAGGTTTTTGTAGCTGGTGGAGATTTTGAAAAATGTTAAATTACTCTTTCCTTGCCATTAAAATGTGATTTAATTTTGTTATTAACAAATTGTGTAAATCTGAAAAGAAGGACTCTGAGTGGGGGTTTGTGAAGTGCATTCTGGCACTACTTACAGTATGTCCTGGGGGGTTGTTCTCCAGGGAGGGCAGCAGCCCAAAACTCCAGCTGACCTCCGTGTCCCCGGGCCTCAGCCCTGGCAGGGCTGGGGTCAGGGGGCCAACCCCTAGGCCTCCCTCCTCTCTCTCCTCTGGGTTCCTGCTGAGACCAGCAACAAAAGGGTCAATTGTCTGAGGCCTCCCTTTGTCTCAGGGGGCTCTGTGGGCCTCTCTGAATGCCAAAGCATCTCTGTGCATGTGGGTCAGTGCATGTGTGCATGTCTGTATGAATGTGTGTATGTGCCTATGTGCTGGTGCACGCAGATGTCTGCATCTGAGTACTGTGTGAGCATGTGCATGCGTGTGTGCATATATGAACACATGCTTGTTGGGGCATGTGCACACACGAAGGGTGTACATGTGCATGCATATGTGTGAGTGTGGATATGCATGCATGCAAAAGTATGTGTGCACACGTGGGTAAGTTGCGTCTCAGTGCGCACATATGTATACATCTGTGTGCACGTGCATGTGTAAATTGGTTATGAAGTGTGTGCAGGTGCATGGTTGCATGCATGTCTGTGCAGACACAGGCAGGAGTGAGACTTGTTTAAAGCATGTCCGAGTTGCTGATGCTTCTTAGCAAGGGCGAGGGCTCAGAGAGGCCTGACTAGCTAGGTTCCTAATGCCAGAGCAGAAGATTATCTCTGGCCCATCTCTTAGCAGATGACACAGTTGCCGTTGTCTTATATCTGCTATGGTACAGAAGCCTCAGAGAGTTTTCTACCTTCCCTGGCTTCTCTGGGGTTGGAGAGTATGCAGGAAGAGGAGGAAGAGACATAAAGAGTCTCCTTGCTCATGTTCCAACCTGGGCCTTCAAAGCAAGGCCCACGAGCCCTTTTCTACGTTCCAGCATCTTGTCAGGGCTGCCTAATTAGATCCAGTGCATTCCGTGTGGAGTTTAAGCTCTGTTTCCAGAATGAGTGCACAGTGCCCTGTTCCCATCCACCACATGAGTCTGTTCCCATGTAGCTCCGGGCCCTTTGCATGGGTTTGGATCATCTTGTTCCCTGGCATGTCGTTACCTGGCCTGTTCACACAGAGGCCCGTGGGATGCTGTGGCGGGCCTGTGGATTCCCTGATTCGCACTTTCTTCCTTCACAAAGATAGCCTTTTTAAAATGACAATAAAACATATTGGATTCAGAAGCCAGGAAAAGGCAAATACAAGTGCTTAACTGAAATCCATCTCTGTGAAGGATTTATCACCCCACCTCTTTCAACCGGCACAGCTACCACCGAAAAACTTCCTCTGCTTTTTTCTTATTTTTGTCCCTCCCACGCCCATTTTCTCTCCCTACTCTAGCAAAGGCGTATCTTTCAACTGTGGAAAAGCCACCAATTAAGCAGTATTCTAAAGCTTATCAAAATATTCGGTTGGTAAAATTATCTTATAATTAGCCTCACTGGAAGCCAGAACTTTTTAACTCCAGGAAATGTAAAGTTACGTGGCACGTGAACTCGTAAATTGCTCATCCTGACCTTTTGGCTGCAGTTTCTGTTTTTATTTCCTTCCCTAAATAATTTCCTCCTTGTTCTTTAAATTCTTGATTGTCCCTGAGGCATCTTCCTTTTCCATTTGCTTAAATCTCAAAAAGATGTACTCCTGGTTCAGCTGACAGATAATTGAATATATTCAGGTGAGTGTGATATGAAATCACCTTGATGTTATGAATTTCATGCCTTCACTTCTAGATAATCTTTTTGTAAAATTAAGCCTATCTTCCCTGAGTCCCGGCTCACTGATATCGGTTCTGCATTTGGGGTATGCATGGTGGTAACACACCGCCAAATTATTCTGGAGCTAAGCTGTTCGAACAGTGGCTGGGGGATTCTGCAGTGTGTTAAGCTGGACCGAAGTGTTGGGCTTTCTTTCTTTTAAAAAAAAAGTGTAATTGAAATATAGTTGACATGTAACATTATATTCATCCCAATGATTTTACTTCTCCTAACTCTCCCTCCCCATGCCTCTTCGTCACCCCCTCCACCCTCCCACTGCCCAGGGAGACTGCACCCACCCCCACCACCACTGGGGCTGACATCAGGGGAACTGCCAGTGATGTGTTTGGGGATGTGAAGGTTCAACTTAGGAGGACTTGGGCCCAGATGATGCTTGGATTTTTAACTGCTGTGAGTTCCTTAAACTAGTAGTGCCATAGTTCAGCCACAAGTGGGTTGATGAGACTTTCATAGGCATGGTTGAGGCTGATCATCATTTTTACATGATGAAATACTTCCTAAGTTCCAAGAACTAACTTAAAAATTAAATTGGAAAATGAAGGGCTGCCTGGGTGGCTCAGTGAGATAAGCATCCAACTCTTGATTTCTGCTCAGGTCATGATCTCAGGGTCATGGGATCAAGCCCTGTGTTGGACTCTGTGCTCAGTGGGGAGTCTACTTGGGATTCTCTCTCCTTCTCCCTCTGTTCCTCGCCCCCCCCCCCCCACTAACTCTCGCTCTCTCTCTGTCTCTCTCTCTTAAAATAAGTAAATAAATAAAATCTTTAAAAAAATTTTTGGGAAATGGAAACATTTTCATAAATGAGGTATTGCCCATATATAATGGTAGTAGTGGTAGTTACTATTTATAGTTTTTCCGTTCCATAGGCAGTATGCACACACGTGTGCATGCACACACAGGTATAAACACAAAAATAGAAAAATTGCTTAATGCTTACATGAGAAAATAATTATTTGCCCATTATATAGTTGTAAACACTGTGGCTCTGAGAGTTTAAATAACTTGATGCCCATATAGTTAGCAGTTGAACTCGTGTGGCCTGACTCTTCTGGAATTTGCTACTGACCTTGCACGAACTAGCTGAGGTCCATGCCGTATGACTCGACCCCCACTTATGCTTGAGAGGTTTCCATGACACCCCCACAGAGTAAAAAGGAAATCACGGTGTCCCCTTGGCCTCCACTTGTCACTGTGTCCAGCAATGGTATACACTTTCTCTTGATGTCACCCATGTACGGCAGGCTCGGTCTCTTTGCTGTCCTCAGAGGCGTAATTTGCTGACCTTGAGCTTATGGAATCAGTGTGAAGATTGTGCAGATCCTCCTGGCAAGACTGGCTCAGGTGGTCAGTCCCCCATGGCCTGGTCTCGACTCGGCTCTCCTGGGGCAGGGGGGTAGGGAAAGAACTCCTCCCAGGACCCGGGTCCGACAAACCTCAGAATCAGCCACACACGGAATCCCGTCCTTTCACGGCTGTGTCTCAGAGCTGGAAGAGCCCTGTTTTGCTCATACAAACAGAGAGTAGAATGCTGGTTGCCAGGGGCTGGGGGTGGGGGGAAATGGGGAGGTGTTGGTCAGAGGGTATAAACTTTGAGTTGTAAGAGGAATGAGCTCTGGAAATTTAATGCACAGTGTGGTGGCTATAGTTAACGATACTGTATTGTATACTTAAAATTTGCTAAGAGAGTAGATCTTAAGTGGTCTCACCGAAAAAAGAAAAAAAAGGTAACTATGTGACGTGATGGATGTGTTAATTAATGTGATAATGTATGGTAATAATTTCACACTGTATATGTATATCAAATCATCACATTGTATACATTAAATATATACAATTTATTTGTTAATTATACCCCAATAAAAAATAAATTAAATTTAAAAAAATTTAAGAAAAAAGAAAAAAAGAAAAAATGCAAAATAAAATAAAATAAAATAAAAAGCTCTGTTATGGAAGGTCTTCCAGATGAGAGACACCCATCTAACTTGAGAAACACATGAAATATTTTAGGTGTCTCTAAGACCCTTTCTTTTTTTTTTTTTTTTAAGACCCTTTCAAAATATGGCTGTCCTTTAAGAACTATGTTGAAACTAAAGATCTGTCATTAAAAGGTGTTATTTATGAAACATAAGCAGTAGGAGATTTTAGGAAATGTTTAAAAAATAATGGACCATAATAAGTTAATTTTCTTGTGAACTCAGCATACTCTTAATATTATTTAATATGTATTTTCCCCTCTTTTTAATTACAGCTTGGGTTGACGATAGCCATTCGCTACAGCCACAGGTAAAGTTAATTTTTTTTTTTTCTCTTAAGGGATAACCTTACTGGTTTATAGCTTTTGGTTTGCTTAAGTCTGTGGGTTTTTTGAGCTTAATTTTGGTGGCTGCTCTACCCATGGTATCAGTTCACAGCAATTAGAATTGTTCTAGTTGCTTGACTGGTGGAGATTACTGGCTATTTGGAGGAATAGGGTTTCTACGTAAAAGTGGTGGTAGGTAGTACATTTCTTTTAAAACAAAAAATGTACTGCTGTAGGGCAGGGACACAAGTGATTTCTGGGGAATATATTCCATCTAAGGATAAGAACAGAAATCTGGGCTGTCCTGCGTGAGAGGCGGAGGCCAGACAAACAGAAAGCTGGGTGAAGGCTTGTTAGTGAAGCCCCTGGCCCCTCCATGGGGCCCCCCCTCTTGTCTTACAGTCATCTGAGGATGGCTAAATGCTCCATTTTTTGTCTTGCTTCATGATTTCTGCCTTTTCCCCGAGTGCACCATGTTTATGAAGAACGTTGGTTTCTTGTACTAATATTCATTAAAATGTATTACAATGTTGAATTAGTTAAAGATCCAGTCTCCATGGAGGGGCACCAAGCAATGTCCCCCCTGTCTTTACACAAACAGCTCACAGCCTCCCCAAGTGCCACCCGCCGGTCAGCTTGGGACATCTGGCCAGCTCTCCACAAACAAACTGTAGTTACCTCAAAGGTTGCCTCCTAAAAATGCTTATAACAGGTTGTATGTACTCGTTTACATTCAGCTCTGACTTGAGCCACAAAGTGGGCAATCAGAGAGGCCTCGAAAAGCTGTTGGTGCCCCGTGTGGGGTAGAGCAGGAAGAAGGCAGGACTGGGTGAGAACCACCCGGAACTGGCATTGTGTGGGAAGAAAAGTGTTCATGCTAGACGTTTCTAGATACTCTCGGAAGAACGCTGCTCCAGAGCAGCTCAGATTACTTCCCGGATCGTAGGTGTGCGTGATGCTTGCGCACGGCCAGGTGGGGCGTCCTGCAGAAGCACCTGTTCCCTTGTCAGCATGGCCAGGCTGCTGGACTGACAGGATGTACAACCGCTCTGCCCCTGGGAAGCCTGGTGTGGACAGCAGGTCCTGGACTCTCATGTGGGCTGGATACTTGGTGGGGATGTGCGTGTGGAGGGGGTGGAGGGCAGATTTTGCCCTTTCCATTCTTTTCCTTTTGGTGGAACTTTCCTCATATCTGAGTCCCTCTCCTCAAGAAAAGTAGCTGCCTGTTTCTGCAGGAGAGCTGAAGGTGCCTCTTCCCTAAGAAAGCTAAGGCCTTGCTCTGGTTTGGAGAACAAACATGTGCTTGTTCCCGCAATGGGGAAGGTTACTCTGTGGCTCTCTGGAGAGTTCTAACTGGTGCAGAAACTCAGAGTCTATATGGAGCTTGAGAAGAAAGCGTTCTTTATTTTTTTTTTAAAGTTTTTTTTTTTTTGATGTAGTGTTCCATGATTCATTGTTTGTGTATAACACCCAGTGCTCCATTCAATACGTGCCCTCTTTAATACCCATCACCAGGCTAACCCATCTCCCCACCCTCCTCCCCTCTAGAACCCTCGGTTTGTTTCTCAGAGTCCACAGTCTCTCACGGTTCATCTTCCCCTCGGATTTCCCCCCCTTCATTTTTCCCTTCCTACGATCTTCTTTTTAATACTTGGTGAGGCTGAGGGACTTTTGCCAACTCTCAGCCTTTTCCAATCAGGGAATCAGGTAAGAAAGCAGAGCAGGGTGGACCTGACGGAAGGCTGGATGGTGCCTTTGCCCCTGTGCTTAAATGGGGTCGGGCCTGTGTTGTGGAGAATATTCATTCTCGCCCCGCCCTTGGCCAGGGCAGGCACCTGGCATCTTTCCGTATGGTTACCAACACCTCACTGGGTTGGTGGAGACTCTTCTGTCCCTCCTGTTGCCTGGCCCTGTCACCCACCTCTGTCCTTAAAGAGAAGGAAGAAAATGAAGGGGGTGGGTTTCTGGTTGTGTCTCTTCTTTAAAAAAATCCTGCTAGTTTATTTAGATTAATTGAAGCTTCAGTCTTTCTGTTGATTACTTTTTTTTTTTTGGTAAAATACACCTAACATAAAATTTGTTATTTTAACCCTTAAAAAAGGTTAAAAAGTATACCGTTCAGTGATATTAAGTACATTCACATTCTTGTGCAACTATCACCACATCCATCTCTAGAACTTTTTCGTCTTCCCGAAGTGAAACTCAATACTCATTGAGCAGTAACTCCCCACCCTCCCTGCCTCCAGCCCTTGGTAACCCCCATTCTACTTAATGTCTCTGAATTTGACTACTATAGGATCCTCATATAAGTGGAATCATACAGTATTTATCTTTTTGTGTCTGGCTTCTTTCACTTAGCATAATGTCCTCAGGATTTATCCATGTTGTAGCGTGTGTCAGATTTCCTTCCTTTTTAAGGTTGAATAATACTCCATTGCATATGTGTGTGTGTATGTGTGTATCTATATATCTATATAGATAAATGAATATATATATCACTTTTTGCTAATCCTTTCATCTGTCAGTAGACATTTGGGTTGCTTCTGCCTTTGGCTATTGTTAACGATGCTGCTATATACATGAGCATTTAAAAATCTCTTTGAAACCTTGCTTTCAATTCTTTTGGGTATATACCCAGAAGTGGAATTGCTGGATCATATGGTAATTGTATTTTTAGTTTTTTGAGGAATCGTCATACTGTTCTTCTGTTGATTACTTTTTAAAATGGGGTTGTATCCTATGTGTATGTAGTTCTGGGTCCCCTTCAAAGGCTCACAGTTGCTATTGAGAAACATATTCTATTTCTATTGTCATGTCTACCCAGAACCCAGATGCTGGAATTAAGGGCTTCCTAGGTCCTCTTCATGTGGGTAAGGATAATTTTGGAAGCAAGGTTTGGGACTTGAGGTTTTAATAACCAGGTCCGTTTCCCAAAATCTAACAGGAGGGCCAGGGCCAAGAGCAATGGTGCGAGAATCCTGTAGTAGATGGAGGTGGGACGAAGGGAAGGGAGGAGGTGAACGTGGCTCCCAACAGCATCACTGGGAGGATAGGTTCACTTAGGAATGGGTGGGAGGGACTTCAAGGACATGAGTATGCAGAGGAGGAGAGGAATCACTAAATCCTATGAACTTGGTGGGCAGGCAGTGCCTCTCAGCCTGCCATAGACACATGGGGCAGAGCAGCCTGGAACAGGGGAGCCCTTGTGTGGGGGACTTAAGGCCCAAAGGATGCCTGGTTCTGTTTTTATACATCTGCATTTTTGCCACAGCCATCAAATCTCCCTTGTTATGATGAAGAAAGCTAGAGCATCCTTTCCCCTGATTCCTGTACTAACACTTGTCCACCCCAACAACTCCCACCCCTGCCCTCAGACATGCTGTTTAGCCTCTAACTCCTGCTAGACCAGTAACGCCAGATTTGGTTGTGTGGTATGCGAGTGTGTGTCTGTGTATGCGTCTGTGTGTGAGACGTCATGTGGGGTCAGATGCTGAGGGGTCAGGAAGTGGAGAACGACATAGTCATATTCTGATGACATAGATGTGCCAAGCAAGGAGGAGCATCGACTGTGACCGACTCTGCATTTGACAACAGGTCCTGCACACATTTCATTTATTATCATGGTGTTTTAATTTATTTTTGTAAAGTCAAGTCATTTTCACAGAGTGGAAAAATTGCCTCTTAGTGTTCATTCCCCCACGGCTTGGCTTGAGGTTTTCGAGTGGAATCCACACCGTGGTAACAGCTGGGTAACCCCCAGAAGTGCCCTTTGCAGATAACAGCTCTTGGGGCCCCACCACCCACACAGTGGGGAAATTGTTCCCCACTGTGTGGGTGTTTTGTTTTTTTCTTTTTCTATAAGTCTGAAAGAGGATTTAGATGTTCTTCTTGTCCGTCCCTGTGCAGCAGCCTGGAGAAGCCTGCTCCCTCCTGGTGGGAGCTCCTGGGCAGAGACCAAGTGGCTCAGAAGTGACCCTCTCACTTTGGGTCTTGCTTCTCTGATACAACGGAGAGGCCACGTGAGCCAACAGCATGCCATTTTTGCACATGGCCCCTGTGTCTGTGTTTCCAAGAATTGCCCATGGAAGCAGGGTGGGAGAGCAGTGAACTAGCCCCCAACAGAATTATTTTCTTTCTTGTTCCTGTTCATTGTCTTTCTTTAATAAATAAGGAGGGAAGCAACTTTTCCACTTGGCTCTGTTACAGTTAAATGGAAGTTCATAGAGGTTTGACTTTTAGATGAAGCCTAAAGATGTTTCTTTCCCACAACTGACTTTTTCTATCCATTTCTCAGAGGCCCTAATGAAGGCCAAATTTGGTACCCTGTCCCAGGCCTGTGCCCTAACCCTAATTTTGGAGTTACAGGTACCAACCCCCTAACAGGTTTTGGTGTTCCCTGAGGGCTGGCCAGGGGAAGGCAGGATTGGGGAGCTTGTGTGTGGTCAGTCCCAGAGAAGTGGGCAAGTTGACAGTTTGATGATCCCTGAGTTGGACTTTGGAGGGCATGGCCTTACGCCGAAAACGCAGACCCCTTGATTAAATGTCATTCTGAGACTGCCTTCGGGTGTTTGCTTTGAATGAGCCAGAGGGCCTAGCAAGAAGTGAAGGGGTCATGTACTTTTGTGTTCTGATTTAGATTAGAGTGGAGTTTGAAGTTTATAGATGAATCAGAATGCTTATTGAATGGACAGCCTGCATCAATGAACAAATGAAATTGTCATCTTGAAATACAAAGGGAGGGAAAGACAAGAAACAGGGCCATCAGGCCTATTGGACTTTGATTTCAAGTGTTGGCAAATACCTAGCAACTCCCATTTGGAGCTGGTTTGATCTTGTGGAGACAGCTGGGGGACACTGTTGTTCTCCAAATTTTGTAAAAATAAACAAAGATGTCTTTCTGCCCTTCCCCCCCCCCCCCTTCCAGGGAATAGTTGTTTCTGTCACTGGGGCTTTCTGGCCAACTGTTCCATCTGTCTCTTTTTCA